GTTTGCCTAGAATAAATAAAACACAAACACTAGACAAATAATATTAGATATAAATTGTTTATAAATCATCATTAAAACAAGAAGGCCAACATTATGTGGTTTGGTTGACCATCTTCGACCTATATCCACAGGGCAACAATACGAGAAATCCACTATGTATCAAGGAGAACTATAAGAGGAACCACTCAACTCTCGTCTCTCAATCTCTCAACCTCACATAATCAACTCTCATATTCTCTCCAAAACCCACTACTTACAATCTTTGAGCGGACAAAGATTACGATATCCTCTCCTAATATTGTAATCTTTTGCATGGATAAAGATCACGAAACCCTCGCCTCTTGTACAATATCCTTGAATCAGTGTACGCCATCTGCTAACCCTAGATTACAAAAATATTGGCTCTCTCCCTTCTCCTTAGTTTTTTTCTTCAAAAATAAAAGAATATATATAGGAAAACCAAAACCCTATCTCTAGCCAAACTTCCTAATTAGAATATGATACAAACTTCTAATCATGATGAGACTCATTCTCCTGATCATGATAGATCTCTAACCCTATTTAATTCTCATAAAATTATACAACAAATCAAAGACACAATCCCAATAGATCCCTTTCTAAAAGATTGAAAAGTCATTGTCATTGTTATTGGGAAATTATGCTAATTCCCCAATCACCAGATTTATGAGAAAGCGAATAAATGCGCAATAAGATGACACATAAATTTACGTGGTTCGACACAAAATTACCTACGTCCACGGGCTGCTGTAGTTCTTTCACTAAGGGAAGAAAATTTATAAGTGTTTTTCACACTCAACTCACATCCCAATTTTCACTCTGAAAATTGCTCACAATTTTCTCTCACTGAGTGCTCTCTCTCTCTTAGCCTCTCTTTTCTCTCTCTTACTCTACTATAAGAGGAGTTGTTTCTGGGATGATTTTTTTATTAAAGAATTATGAGCCTATTTATAGTGTTTGGAAGAACACTATGCACTAATAAAAAAATATTATTTTCTGTGACGGGGCCCACGGTGGGGCCCGCCCACCTTTTTTCTTTCAAAAAATGCGGTACCGTTTCTTTGCTCCTGTCATTCAACCTGTCATTCAATCAGCGGTGAAAAGAAAGAAAGAAAAGAGATGGGGACTGCATTTCTTTCTTTGTCAAAATTTTCGCCCGCATGATAATCTTCCACTTGAAGACTGATTTCAATCTGTTTTCACATCTCGATTTATGCAGCAGCTCTTCCCCGGTCTTGATATTATTGCAAACCAACTAAAGCTGAACACAGCTTCAGTTTTTCAATAGTCACCGTCTTTGTCAACATATCCGCTGGATTCTTACTTCCTTGGATCTTCTGTTGAAACCCTTTGACAACTAGTTGGGCTATGTACCTTCTGGAACCATCATGTTCCTTTTTCACCTGATACACCCACTTGTTATGATGTGCCTTCTTCCCCATGGGCAACTCAGCTAGTTCCCATGTCTAGTTGGAGATCATAGATTTCTTCTCTTCTTTTATGGTAAACTCCCATTTGCTCGCATCTCCACTCTGACAAGCTTCGTCATAGGTTTCAGGCTCCCCTCCATCTGTCAACAACAAATAGTTTATATATATCATGTTTAGCACAAGAGGTCGAGAAGATCTTCTCAATATCAGAGCTGGTACATCGGGCTCTTGTGCACCGTTCTGTCCTATAGGATCTTCTGGCTGAGGACCTTTTGCATTGGGTTCTTCCGAGAGGTTACCTGGGACATCATCTACATCTACAAATGTTGACTCTCTCTCTCTGAGTCACTGGCATCTGTCTTGTGCATGTCCTTGTACATCATCTTCTTGTTAAATATCACATCTCAACTCCTGATCACCTTCTTGTTTTCGTTGTCCCAAATACGGTAGCCGAACTCATCTTCACCATAGCCAATGAAAATGCATTTTTTAGACTTGGGATCAAGCTTATTCCTGTATTGATCACTAATATGCACATAAGCTACACAACTAAAAACTTTGAGATGTGAGAGTTTTACCTCTTTTCTGCACCATACCTCCTCTGGTATTATGTGCTCTAATGGAATCGATGGACCTCGGTTGATCAAGTAAGCTGCTGTGTTGACTGCTTCTGCCCAGAACTGCTTCGGTAGTTCTGACTGTATTCGAATGCTCCTGGCTCTCTCTGTTAACGTTTGGTTTATCCGCTCAGCCACACCATTGTGCTGAGGTGCACCGGGCACGGTTCTCTCCATTCTGATCCCGTGCTCATAGCAGAACTTCTTGAATCTGGTGTCTTCATACCATTGTCGATTCTGAGCTTCTTTATTCTTAGACAGGTCTCATTCTCGACCATGGCTTTTCATCTCCTGAAAGCCTCAAACACTTCAGACTTATACTTTAGAAAGTAAACTCATACATTCCGAGAGTGATCATTGATGAAAGTCACGAAGTAATGTTTCCCACCAATGGATGAGATGGTTGTTGCTCCTAAACATCCGAGTGAATGAGCTCAAGCCTCTCCTTCTTTGGGGTTCTGCCACTTGTCTGAAAGCTAACCCTCTTCTTCTTTCCAAGTATGCAATCTTCGCACATGTCTATCTCCATTGATTATAGATCTGGGAATTTTCCCTTTGTGTGCATAATCTTCATCCCCTTCTTACTTATGTGGCCAAGTCTCCGATGCCACAAATTTGAAGTTTCATTTCCTACTACAACTGTGATCGAACAACGTGCACCTGCCGTCATGTAGAGGGTGCCGCTTTTCTTGCCTCGAGCAATCGTCATTGTGCCTTTTGAAATCTTCCAATCATCATCATGGAAAGTCGTAGTGTAGCCTTCACTAGCCCGCTGGCTTACTGAGATTAAGTTCTTTCTTAGGTCGGGAATATGTCTGACATCCTTCAGCTTCCATACTGACCCGTTCAACTTAATCTACTCTACACCTTTGCCAACAATAGAAAACAGTTGATTATTACCAAGATATATTTTTTCAAGGTTTCCGGGGACATACCTCTCAAAGAATTTTTTCTACGAAGTAGCATGGAACGATGCTCCAGAGTCTAACACCCAAGACTTCTCCTTGCTCTCTCCAAAGATCATATTAATGCATCATCTCCTCCTGAGGTGGAAGCAACATTTGCATCTGCCTTTGCCTCCCACTCCTTCTGTGCACTTTTGCATTGATTTTTGTAGTGCCCGATTTTCCCACACTTCCAACACTCGATGGCCTTCGAGCTGCTGGGATTCCTGGATTTGGACCTCCTATCCTTTGATCCATTTCCTCTGATTGAGTTTCTTTCTCTTGACTCTGTATGCAGTACTGAAGAAGTTGTAGCTTTACCCGACTCTCTCCGTCGGATCTCCTACTGAGAACCAGATCATGAACATCATCGAACTTCAACTTGTTTCTTCCCGACAAGCTACTCACAGCTGTGACTGTAGCATTTCAGCTTTTTGGTAGGGAAGACAAAAGGACCAACGCTCGTACTTCTTCATCAAACTCAATCCCAACTTAACTCAACTGGGTTGTGATCGTATTGAGTTCAGTGAGATGTTGAGCTGTCGAAGCGCCTTCTGTCATCCGCAAATTGAACAGTCGCCTCATCAAGTGACCTTTGTTTGAGGCAGACGGCTTCACATACATGCTGCAGAGAACCGCCATAAGACCCGTCATGGTCTTTTCCTTTACTATATTGAAAGCAACGTTGCAGGATAACGTCAATCGGATAACTCCAAGGGCTTGTCTGTCCAGAAGAGCCCACTTTTCATCCTTCATGTCATCTGGCTTCTTTCCTGAGAGAGGTTGATACAGCTTCTTTTGGTACAGATAATCTCCGATCTGCATCTTCCAAAAGCCGAAGTCTGCACCATCAAACTTCTCAATTTTTACCTTCCCTTCGTCTGCAGCCATCACTCCCACTTGAATCTGACTTCCTCTGGATCGTTTCTGGCAATTTCTGCGAACCACCGTGTATTAGAACACTGCTATTGACGAAACTAGTATCGCCGACAAAATTTTACTATTCATAAAATTCACTATTCATGTGAATAGCAATCTTACAAAAAAATTGACAGGCGTCACAACCAGAACTCTTATACCAGTTGTTGGAAAATTACGCAAATTCCCCTATCACTAGATTTATGAGAAAGTGAATAAATGCGCAATAAGATGACACAAATTTACGTGGTTTGGCACAAAATTGCCTACGTCCACGGGCTGCTGCAGATCTTTCACTACAGGGAGAAAATTTACAAATGTTTTTCACACTCAACTCACATCCCAACTTTCACTCTGAAAATTGCTCACAATTTTCTCTTACCGAGTGCTCTCTTTTAGCCTCTCTTTTCTCTCTCTTACTCTACTATAAGAAGAGTTGTTTCTGAGATTATTTTTTCTTGAAGAATTGTTAGCCTATTTATAGTGTTTGGACGAACACTATGCACCAATAAATAAATATTATTTTCTGTGACGGGTCGCGGTAGGCCTTTTTTTTCTTTCAAAAAATGCGGCACCGTTTGTTTGCTCCTGTCATTCAACCTGCGGTGGAAAGGAAGAAAGAAAAGAGATGGGGCCCGCATTTCTTTCTTTATCACAATTTCGAAAAAATAATGATAGGGACACACCCTCTACTACACTCCCAACCACACCATCTCTCTTGCTATAGTGCACAGGGCCCACATGAGATTTTAATTTTAAAATCTCATGTGGGTCCGTATACCGTAGCAAAAGAGGTGGTGTGATTGAGAGTGTGGTAGATGGTGTGTCCCTTGTGCCTCCCATTTCGAAAATCCCTTCATGATCTGTCGTACAAGCCTTCGACATTGAGGGGACATAAAGGTTGTCGGTTCCCCTCATGAAAGGCTGCACAACGAAAGTCATCTGTTTCTTTAGTCTTTGACAGGATTAATTTAAAGTATAACATATATAGGTTATTTTACGATTATCGTGATTTGACAGGATTATTCATCCCATGAGTTCCGTAATAATTTGTTTACACTCTCCTTATACAGGTCCTGTAAAATTTGTGACTTCAAAATATGATGGGAGGTTACCATCTTTGGTATATAATCCTTATGGTTGGACAAAGGTTAACTCTCTAACATAGTTCAAGGGACAAATTTTGAAAACAGACCCTTTCGTAAAAATATTCTCAAAAAAGACCCGTTTTCACTTTATTTTCAAAAAACTACCTATTTTTTCATTTTATTTTCAAAAAACGACATACTTTGTTGAAACTGGGTCGTTTTTTTGTGAAAAATGTTTCCAAACTTCACGGGAGTTGAACTCCGTGAAGTTTTTTTCATAACAAAACTTCACGGGAGTTCAACTCTCGTGAAGTTTGTGAATATTTTTCACAAAAAACGATCAAGTTTCAGCCTCAGGACTAAAACTGAATCATTTTTTATGAATATTTTCAAAACAAGTCTTTTTTTAAGAATATTTTTGCAAAAGGGTCTGTTTTCAAAATTTGTCCCCTAGTTCAAGTGATGCAATCCTTTTTGTTGTCCTATATGTTTTAATTTTATTGAAAATTTAGGTTGCTAACGTCATCTGGGTCGACTCTCCTGTTGGAACTGGATTCTCATTCTCGAGAAATCCTAAAGGCTACGTGGTTGATGACACGATTACGTCAAAACAAGCCTACGAGTTTCTGAGAAAGGTGTGATTACATCTTGTGATTAGTTAATTTCTTTGATCAAAACATAGATTTATTATTTACCTTGGAGCGCGATATCGAAGAAAACTCATTATGCGTATTGCCGCAGTGGCTTGTCGAACATCCGCAGTTCATTTCCAATCATCTCTATATTGCTGGTGATTCATTTGGAGGAAAAATTGTTCCTATCGTTGCTAGCATGGTTGCGAAAGGTAAAGTCAACCACTTATTCCCATTCTGGCTATGAGGACTTCACTGATAATGGAATAATATTTTCGTTCTTGTTAGTTTATTTTGCCAGCTTGATAGAGTAGAAGTTGGGTTTCTGACGACATTCTTTATGGACAACAGGTATTGAAGATGGCCATTATCCGCTCATAAACCTCAAGGTATTTTCTTAGCATGTTGTAAACAATTTTACTTATATAGTATTGGTTTTTATTGTTGGAAATTTATCAAAACAAATGCTATAGCATGCAAATTAAATCCGAATAAAAATAAATAATTAAATCTGGCTTGATTGGGAGCAATCGAGTAATCACTGCCCTAGAAGATTAAGAACTCGCTTATCGCCCTGGCGCAAATGGTTCCCTTCCCCTAGCGGTAAAAACCCCCGGAAACGGTCGGCCTCCGTACTCGGGCGAGAGTACAGAGCTTCAGCTCAGATGAAGAAGATTGCCGAAAAAATTAATAACAAAAATTATAGAAGGGGAAAAAACAATTTCTTTTAAAACAGAGAAGAGGAGAAAAAGCTTTATTTTCTTGTCTTGTCTTATCTCTTTTGAGCTCGACATACGGCTGTTTATATAGGGGTTGGAAAGAGCCGTTACAAAAAACTGCAATTAATACGGTAACGTTCGCCATAAATTTCCGTAACGTTCCCCATAATGTATAGCCGTTACGCTCATCTTTAATTGCTAATTAAAACATGTTTTGATTACAAAATTTATTACTATTCATGAAGGCAAAATTGCCTTTTCTCAATAAAATATCCAACAGCCCCCCCAAAGGCAATATTGACTGAAAACTCAGAAATCAATACATAAATTAAGAAATCATAAAACAAATATAGGTTGAGCAACCTTTCGTATCGTGAATTCGGGAGAGGTAGCTTCCGGCTTTGAACCTTTCCTTAGTGAGTTCATTGCCACCTGAGGGACATAATGGACTAGGCCTTAAATTAGGCCCCTTAAATCAGGTATTGATAAAAACACACACAATACGTCTTTATCTATTGAGCAAAGCGGGTTGAGCGTTAAAGGCCATGCTCACAATAACCGACTCATGAGAGTTTCTAGGGGTTAGCCTTGCCCCCCGAACCGCGGCCATCACGGTTCCTCTCACGTAGGTTATAAGTCCTCAAAGGGTACTACAACTGTTTATTTAATACCCTTCATAATACACACGTTGGACTTATTAAAAGTAAAACTTAGCCTAGCCAGCTGTATCATAAGAGCATCGTCATCATAGAGAAGGGGTAGTAGCACAAGCTACATAGTGATATATGAATATATCTGGGTCGATGCTCCACACGAGTGTCACTAGTCCAGCTTGTTTCTACCACATTGAACAACATTGGGACTAAGTCTCCAAATAAGGGTTGGGTTATCACTGTCAGTGACCTCTCTAATAGGCTTAACCACATCTCCCTCGATGAATCCAGAACCACACTCCTGGATAATCCCTTAGTCAAAGGGTCAGCAATATTCTTTTTAGACTTTACAAAGTCTAGAATCACAACTTTGCCTAGTAGGCGTTGTATATATTTATCAAGTTATTTTATAATTAGTCATTTATTTGACATTAGGTCCCCTTCTTGTTTAAGTTATTTTTCAAATCAATCTTTCCAGGAAAGAAAGTAGCAAGAGGAGGGATTGATTTGAACCAACTTATAAGGATAAAGAGACCTAATAGAAATTTTAATTATTTGTTGGACTAATTTTAATATAACTTCAGTGATTTTGAACTTTTATTCATCATATAGATAGAAGATATAAGATATACCTCTTGATTTGATTTTCCAGGACATTGATTCATCACATCTCCTGTAACTAGACATATTAGTTAACAGAGCATATTTATATCAACTCTAATCATTTCCTAAAATCTCAAGAGAAAGCATTATACATGTATTCAAATGAAGAGCTATAAAATGATTCTTTTAGTCACTATCAAAACATGTTAGCATAGTTATTGATGTCTCTTATCAATAAACAAAGGATTATAATAATTAGACATTTCCATTTTAAATGTCTAAACAAATTTGATATGTGATCATGTCAAGTAGAAATTGTAATGATCAAATATTATTAAGGAAGGAATAGAAAACAAAAGCACAAAGGGTTTGCCATTACTTCCGGGTTCTTTGAGAACACAATATGTTGTACATTTAAAGAGCTAAAATACTTTAGTTATATCTTCACATGCATGCATATGCACATATAAGAATGACATTACTAATAGATACATGCAAAGCATTAAAGAGAACCTTATAATAGGATTTCGTATGTTAAAATATACATCATACTTCATATACATAATTTTTAAATTTTCCTATTATAAGAGCTTGCAAATTTGGTTGCCTTCAAAGGGACCATCCAAATTTAAATTAGTTGTCTACAAAAGAGACCTTCCAAATTTAAATTGGTTATCTACAAAGAAGACCATCCAAAATTACATGGCCATTTTCTAGTGTCACCTCTTAAACATTATATATATATATATATTACACATGTGCTTTAAAATTTTACAAGTGCATTCTAGCATAAAACTTTTAATTAATTATGTAACAAATGCAAGTGATATAATATGACGTATGAATATCCATCATAATGCAATAAAAGAGATAATCTTTACATTTTTTAAAATATAATTCACCATATAAAATAGAATTAAAAGATGCATAGCTTGTAAGATGATATTAGAGATCTAGCTGTCCATGTTTTTCCTATAACTGAAGTTATATTATATGAAGATCTTTCCAAGTAACTGATTGTTTCTTTCAGTTATTCATACATTCTAAAGCTAAACAATGTCTTATAATCAATCAATGCATGTAAGAGTAGTAGCACTGTGGCTGTCAGAAGTATTACAATGCAAGGCTTGCTGGTTATTTGTCATGCTCATTATGAGTTCCAGCATACCACATGAAAAACCTTGACAATGATAATAATACACTTGTATCAGATACATAATCATGACATATATGGTGGACATTTATATCTTTCAAAGTAATTAGCCAAGGAGTGTCTGCTATTTGGTGTCAATTGACATATTAATTTATAAACCTCATGTATAGGACACATGCGTTGCATAGCAAGCTAGATTAATTACTAGTTACGCCAACAAATAATGAAAGCAATTAGATTAGATGATCAATAATAAAATTGCTTAATAAACAGAAAAATTCCCCCGAGTGAACAGTAACCCTTGGTGAACAGTAACAAAATTTTCTTTTTTTTAAATTTTAATAACAACTAAATTAAATTATTAGTTAACAAATAAACAAGAGCAAGTAAAGCAAATTACAACAAATTAACTATTATTAATTTTCTTTTTTTTTACAGAAAGAAATATATATTTTTCCGGATGAACAGTAAAAACGATGAACAATACTTTTAATATAATTTTTTCGGATTAAAAGCAAAAGCTATAATATTCTCAATCTTCTAGATTGTTGGAAATTTATCAAAATAAATGCTATAGCATGCAAATTAAATCCGAATAAAAATAAATAATTAAATCTGGTCTGATTGGGAGCAATCGAGTAATCACTGCACTAGAAGATTGAGAACCCGCCTATCGTCCCGGCGTAAATGGTTTCCTCCCCCTTAGCGGTAAAAGCCCCCGGAAATGGCCGGCCTCCGTACTCGGGCGAGAGTACAGAGCTTCAGCTCAGATGAAGAAGATTGCCCAAAAAATTAATAACAAAAATTATAGAGGGGAAAAAACAATTTTTTTTTTAAAAACAGAGAAGAGGAGAAAAAACTTTATTTTCTTGTCTTGTCTTATCTCTTTTGAGCTCAACATACAACTGTTTATATAGGGGTTGGAAAGAGCCATTATAAAAAACTACAATTAATACGGTAACGTTCGCCATAAATTTCCATAACGTTCCCCAAAATGTATAGCCGTTACACTCATTTTTAATTGCTAATTAAAACATGTTTTGGTTACAAAATTTATTACTATTCATGAAGGCAAAATTACCTTTTCTCAATAAAATATCCAACATTTATTGTTGAAGACACTCACTTATTAGATTTAAATTTCTTTTTGTTCTTGCAAAGAATTTGCAGTTGCCATTTTGTTTTCTTTGGTTAAAGAATGAGCACACTGATCATGTCTTTTCAGATTCTGCTTCACTCAATACATGATCTCTTTAGTTATTAAATGTAGCAGTTTGTTAGGTATGTTAGCCCCTATTTGGATTTGCCCCTAGTGAAGGAAAGTTTAAGTGAAATTGGATAAGTTAAGGGAAGTTAAAGTAACAACAAAATTTATTTGGGAATTTAGTAAGGAGAATCAAGAGGAATTTATTTCACCCCGTTTGAAAAGTTTAATAAGGTGAAGGTAAGGTAAGGGAATATATGTAAATTTACATAAATAACCTTATATATTGTTTTACCCATTTGAATCTCATCTTGATACAAGGGTAAATTTTGATTTGTGTAATATTCTGTTTTTAAGATTTCTCCTTTATTACATCCCAATTTGAAGGGGAACAAAATCACAAGTTGTTCCTATTACTTACCTCAACTCCCACAACTTTCCCAACTTATCTGCCTCAGATGAATTTCTAAATATGAGTAATGTATCCCCTACCTTCCCTTACCTCACATTAACCCTATTCCAAGTAGGCCCTTAGTGGTATAACATTCTCTCCTAACCCTTTTGGAACTCTTAACAATCAGGAAATCGTCTTCAACATTCCTTTCCTCAAAAAATCTAAAATTCTTCTCACAATTCCATAAAAAGTACACCCACGTAGCCACTTGAAGCATAAATTATTTTACTCACCGCTTGAAGCATTGCTTAAGGTCTTGTAAGTAATTTCTATTGGAGATTGATAAGAAATCCAACCTTTCTTTTAGGGGTTACTGCAGAAAAAAAGTCACGGAAATAACAACAAAGCACAAATGAAAACCAGCATATGCAATCACAAAACAAGAAGACGAGATTTACATGGTTCAACAAATTTCCTACATCCATGGCGTAAATCCAGCAAGAAGAAGAATTACTAGATCTCTCAAACCCCATCTTGCAATCCTCACAAGAAATAAATCTCTCTTCTTCTCTCTTTCTCTCTCTTTTGATGTCTGTAAACTTGATAGGATTAAAATTATAACCTATAAGGAAAACCCTATTTATTTATAGAGTTCTAACTAGA